CCACCCTTAAGACTGCTAGCGGTTCTGCCTGGTATTCTTGTGGAAAACGGTAGTACAAGCCCCCATTATCAGGATTATCATCTTCGCTTTCTGCAAAAAAGTGCCCTGTGAGCGCTGTTGTCAAAAATGGTCTGAACCGCGCAGGATACAGCATCGAGATGGGTGAAATGGCAGTGTTAATACGACCCTCCTCCACCCCACCCCATCACAACTTACCTACGCTCTTATCATATCTGCGCAGAAATTTCCTGTCAAGCTTGGAGAGGGGGATGGGGGGGATGGACACCTTCAACTCACTCGAGGACAAGTACATCGCTATCAGCGCATGAAAAAAGCAACAAACTCCAACATTTCTCTACAGGCAAAATACACCTCAACCCACAACGACCAACACGACATGCAACGCTTACGGGTTCCACTCAAAGCGACCGTGCTTGACCGCTGGCGAAAAACCCGATCCGTAACCCGTTTATCAGAGTTGGTCGATTTTTTGAATAGTTTTGTTGCGAGTTGTTTCCATAAAATATCACCTTAAAGAATGGCTACGGTCGCGGGAGCAACCAAAGCACACACAGCTACCCAGAGCTTCGTTGTTCACACCGAAGCCCGAACTTTGTTTGCGTTCGTAGTGTGGTAGGATTACTAAGAAACTTGCCAAGTAGCCCGGAATTCAAAGAGCGTGCATCTCTCAAGAATTTTCCGAGCAGCTGCTTGAGTTTAATCGATAATAGTTGGATTTGCACTGCTAAAAGTCCGCAAAAATCTATAGCAGAACAGAGCGATGCGCTGAAATTTGTTGAAAAGCGAAGATTCACGCTAAAAGCCACGGCGATGATGTGTAACACACGAAATTTATCACCAACACAGAAGCCTCATCTGCGATTTTTCACGACAACAAACTTTTTACGAACCACTATACAACAACCAAAGTTACCGCATCCTTCCTGTCAATTACCCTGGAAGTCCTACGAGAATTCCTAGATCTTGGAAATCATGATAAACCTTATACTCACCGATAATATGTAGGAGTTCCACTGATGAAATGAAAGTGTAGACTTTTCTGAACGAAATGTCTTCAGTGAATTTCCACATTTCAAAGAAGTATGCTTACCTCAGGAACCCTTCGAGAAAGATGTTTTCCGATAAGCAGAGCGTTAAACTCCGCAACCGAGACGGAAACGACTGCAAATCGGTGAAGTCGTGAAGTTGCATCGCCGTTGAGAAGTCTGTTAAAATTATCATATAAATGTATATAATGTATTATATATTATAACCATTCAGAAGGGATAATAATCACTCAGATCGTTATTTCCCCTATGGTCCTACAGTAGGAAAAGAGAGTTTAAGGTCAACCAAACATAAGTAGTACCGTCTCTCGAGTTGGTTCGCCAAGCTTCTTGTTGGGTTTGGACATACTCACCTTTATTGCAAGGATACTAGTTGTGCCCAAGGGGTCTACCCTTTTCCAGGACATAAGTGCTGATTTTCGCGCCTGAAGGTGGGTACTGGCGAGAAACAGAGAAACTAAAGTCTGCCCTTCTGTGATACCTTCTTGTCGACGATTCCAAAAAATTCGAGGTGGAGGGCACAGTTCATATTTGAGGGCAATTCGGGGCATACACAGTCGCGACAGCTGCGAGGTCCGAAAAAGATGGAGGGGGACATTTATGTAGGGGAGGAATGGTCGACACGGTAATGCGTAGCCATCGAGCAGCAGCTTTTCAATCTACTGTATGGGCGATAGCACTAGTTCTGCCGGGGGGACAAAAAATCTGAGAAGGTAGAGAAAAATGAACCGAATTTTCCGGTTCTTCTGCATAAAGAGCAGTTCATTAACTAATCTAGGCGATATTTCGTCAAAGTTGTGGCGCATTTACAAAATAATGTTGCAGCGGTCTGTGATGACTAGGACATTGAAATCCGAATTATTGTGACACCTCAATCTCAGCGGTCATGATGTATTTTCTGACACATTGACTCGACTAGCCGAACACTTCCACGCCAAACCAATCAGCTTCTGACGCGAATGCCCACATGCAGCATCTTGGCAAACTGGATCTTCTAATCGACAATAAGTAGTGATGTATCACTTATTCGTCTTCTCTTCAGAGTGGAGAATACAGCTCAGACGTGAACGCTCGCGAAAATTTCGTCCCAACTAAGCCCGACAAGCTTCACTGACCACGACACCGTCCACAGATGAAAACAAAAACGCAGGACCTGCATGCAGTTTGAAAAACTGCTGCAAGTCTTCTCATGTATGCATCGGTGACGCAGAACTTTTCTGCCAGGTTCTGAGGGTCTTGCCAGATTCTGAGGATCTGTTAAAAAAGTGAATTTATAAAACACCGAAGGGACGTACCCAGCGTAAGATGTTGAAGCCGCGGACATTTGTTGGCCATCTCGTAAAGGACGTTCGGTGTGATCAGATCGGTTGTAAGTTCGACGATTCGTAGTTCAGAAAATTGTGTGCCGATAAGTTGCAAGAAGTAGTCATGATTCAGTACCTGAAAAGTCGGCGATAATTTCAGAGGAATCTTCAGGAGGGCAGTGATTACCTGAAGGCCACCGTAATTTGGTCTGAAAGACACAAATTTCCACAGTAATGGACTGCATGCGACACTTCGCCATCTCTTGCATACTTGGCCTGACTGTAGGATCTGAAGAGTAGCACTTTGCGAAAGCCTAAGTTGATTTAGATTTCAAAAAAGGAAAATCAGACTTACTTGATATGGCGTCAGATAGGAGAAGATCTGCTGTAGGACTTTGTCGGGAAGTTTATCGATTGTCTGAAATAAGGGGACACGGATTATGAAGCCTACCGTAACAATTTTGTTATTTGAGCTGTGAAAATTTCCAGCTCTCTAAGCATTCCTACAGAATTCTGTCTTCTGATGGCTTCGTCAGCGGCTGCTTCCAGTTGCCCGAGCCTTGATTTGACCTCACCATCTAAGTCGGCTACAGTAACCCTACGGGCCATTTCGAACATTTCCGTCATTTTGATGATAATAAGTACTTAGCGAGTAGAAGTACGTGAATGAGGAATACTTTCAGTGCAGAAGATTTGTTCTTAACGAACAATTAGGGTGAAATCGGTAATAATCCACGAATCGCAAGAGTGTTTTGTAGGGGCACAGGGGTGAAAATCAATGCATGCGTGCGTGAAAAGCTTTGGCGTGCTGCTATTACACTATGGCCAAACGTTCGTTATGCTCAGCTAGCACCTTACTTCCTTCAGTTCTGACCATATTTTGGGTCGTTCTAGGCCATTTACCTAAGGCATGGGTGTCAAAAAGAAGCTCGTCGATTTTAATAGGTTGTAATTCGGGGAATAATTATCTTAACGGGAACAAATTAACTTGTTTTTCTTGAGCATCGTAAAGCAAAAGGTGAGTTGAGGCAGCGGATTCTCTTTTCGCACGTATCAGCTGAGCAACTTTCGGAACAGCTGGATGGAGAGGATGATCCCACAGCACTGACGAGGTTTATCACAGTAACGCGGGTGTCTCTAATAAGGCCTTGGTGGAATGATAAACTGAGCACCAAAAATGCCAAATATTCATTGTGGTTCAGTTTCCTTAGCCGTCAACGCCGTTGATGCTAGTTTGTGACTGCGTTTCCGTCTATTGCACTGCAGCGCCATCGCAGTGAGTGCGTCTCGACGCGCAAACAGCGGATTATAACGCGTCCACGCGCGAGAGCACTCCCAATTTAGAAGCGTCCACACGCAAGATCGGAAGAAAGTCAGTGTGGAAACGTTTTCTGAATAGAATCCTTGCAACCACCGGAGAAGATGCGTTGGTTACAGTCTATCTGAAAATGAAAAATTAAGCTGCCCACGCTTAGTTATGGTCACGAGAAGTAATCTTGAAAAGCTCTGTACTGCTGTATCTGAAATTACAGTCTGCAGGCTGAAAACAAGGAGAGACAACATAAAAACAAATTAATGAGTTTCTAGGCCATAAAGAAGTTGTAGAGCGACATCACTTTGATTCCCAATGCTCGGAATGAATTTCAATGAATACACGCTTGCATTTAGCTTTGCGCTTCAGCTAATCGGTCCGGGTCGCTTTTTGGATCAGGAAAAAACTTGACTCGGACGGTTCTTATAATAGGTCATCTCGTTCAAAAGACATATAGGAAATGGTAGGGAAGCAAACGAATTGATGCCATGCGTTTCTGTATCGTTGTGATAG